CAGTCTGCGCTTGAGGAGGAGTGCAGATGTGTAGCGTATTATGTTATCGTTGCGTGAGCTGACATGTTGAACATCGTTTCATTGATGTGCATCGTTGTCGCCCGCAGGCGTTTTGCTCCAGGCACCTTCAGGCGATGAAGAAAAGGGGTTCGTTTTTCACAGAGATTATTTCTGCATTGGGGGCCGCGACGCCCTGGGACATCGACCACCTGCCTGTCGGCAGCCCAGGGCGTCGGCTAGGCCTGATCGAGGGCGTCGACCACCCGCGCGCCTGCGGCCTCGATCCAAGGCCCGCTGCTCCCTTTCGAGGTCTGCCCGTCTGTGGGTCCCCTCAGGACTTGTTGCGGCCCCGACTCTCGGCACAAGGCGGTTCTGGGGGAGGGCCGCTCTACCCTGGGGCATCGACCACCTGCGCGTCTGCAGCCCGCAGTGGAGGCTGGGTTTGATCGAGGGAATCGACCACCCGCGCGTTTGCGGCCTCGATCCAAGACCCGCTGCCCTCATTTAGGGTCCGCCCTGCGCTGGGCTCCCCACGAGCCGCCAGCACCGAAAACTCAGCTCGCCGTCGTCTCTCTCGTCTTCTGACCTCGCCCCGCCAGCCAGAGCTTCGTCTCGTCCTCCCTCGCGACAGCCTGCTCCAAGGCCTTCCCAGCCCGCCTGCAGGCAACTCCTTTCGCACTGATGGTTTCCTCCAGCAGCGGCGCTCGCGCAGGCTGCGCAGTCCCGGACGGCGCCACCGCCTGCACCAAGGCTTGCAGCTCCTGCGCACCCGCGGCCTGGCCGACGTGGTGCTGGAGCTGGGCGGGGAGCTCAGCGACCGACTGCTTGTCTGCGCCACGCTGCGGGGGCGTCGACGCCTTGGGCACCTCCATGCGGCTGGGCGCCCAGGAACCTGGCGGTTGGGTTGGGGCCTGCTGAACTCCGCCCGAGCCCGTGCCAGACGCCCACGCCCCCTTGGCCTTCTGCCATGGCGGCGTCCGCGGCGACGGCACCAGCGCACTCCCGCATGAGAAGCACTGCGTGCGCATCTTCCAGTTCCAGCGATCGCGACAGCTCGAGCATGAGACGTCGCCTTTGGCTGCATCCTTGCTCATGGGCTCCGCCAAGAGCTCACAGAAAGAGAAAACGTGCCAAAGGCGACGGTTACAATTTCGG